GAAGGAGATCATCCTTCATATTTGGAAACCAGCGCCTGAAGGGCGCCTGAGAGCCTGAACGATTTCCGACCCAGGGGTATCGCGGTTCGGCCATTCGTACGGCGTCATGGATTCAGGGATGTCGCAGGTCAGGGCCAACGTTTATTAATCGGAATTTCCTTCTGAATCATTTTCTGAGCTCGGTTTTTTGATTGGGAGTGTGTCTCAGGGTGTTTTTGTAATAAAAAAAACTTCTGCGATTTCGATCTGGGATTTACTTTTCGCGAGCACGATTCTGAGAATCCGAGCCTTTTTACGAGTTGTTAGCTTGGTGCGACCTCCCTGGGAGTCGGTGGAGTGTTCATCAGCAGGTAACGAGTTGTGAGCCTGGTGCGATGATTTTGGGTATCTCTCTGGGTCGGCTTCTCTGCGATACACATCTGCAATGGGGAAAAATAGAAAGGGAGTTGCAGAGGTTTCATTGGGGCGAGCCACCAGATCGAGCTCCCGGTTCTCTATTTTGAAAGCTCTGGAAAAGGACTTCCCAGCTCTGAGCGTGAAGAATTTGAAACTTGGGAGCACGGCCAAGTTAGGGAATAACGGGAAGCAGACAACTGCGGGGGGTCAAGAGGATGATACTGCAGCTGTTCACAATGTTGTTGAGACAGAGTCTTCGAGTGCTCAAGCTACAAAAGCCATGCCCCCGATCCCAGGTGCAGGAATTCCTCATGAGAAGTGTGTCCAGTATGAACTTTCTACTGCCAACATTCAGGCTGATAGCAGAAATCCGAATTCTGCAGAACCTCCTGTGAGTGTGCAACCTACTGTGAGTGTGCAACCTACTATGAGTATGCAACCTGATGTTTGTAATTTTGGCAGTAAACCTCCACAGAATGCTGGAATAGTTACTGAACCTGCGTTGACGGTCCCTAAAGATGGTGAAATGGTTAAGAAACCATGGACTACACTCTTTAAGGACAACCGAGCCCCTTTTCATGGGATTAAACTGACTTTTGTTCCTCCTAAAGGTAATTCCTTGGACTTTTCTGATAGAGTATTGTCGTCCATGGTTGAGATGTGGGGATATTGTCTTGTTGGCTACTTCACAGGTCATTTCCCGGGCCTAAAAGCTATTTATGAACTGAAATCTAGGTGGGGAGTCAACTGCCAAATCAAGAGACATGATAAGGGTTGGGTGATTTTTAAATTCCAAACTGAAGCTGACAGAATGAAGGTGCTTAAAGAGGGACCCTATACAGTATTTGGAAAACTACTCATGTTGAAAGTTCTGTCGGAGGACTTCACTTTTGATGACGAAGAGTTCCTTAAAGTGCCGATTTGGGTCAAATTCCCACGCCTACCAATGAAACTTTGGAATAAAGAGGCCATGAGTGAAGTAGCTTCTATGGTTGGGATGCCAATAACTACGGACTTGATCACCCAAGAAAGGAGCAACCATAATTTTGCTAGAGTGCTTATCGAAGTTGATGCATCGAAACCGCCCATGCTTTCATTTCCTATACGACTACCTTCCCGTAAGGTAATCATACAATCAGTGGTATAGGAAACGTTTCAAAAATTTTGTTTTCATTGCAAAAAGTATAGGCACAACCCTTTTATTTGCAAAGAGCTATATGACAAGGAGGAAACCGGAAAAAATCTACCTGAGAAGGAAGTAAAGAAAACAAATGATATTACTGTGGATGAAATTGCTACTACCGAAATTGCTTATAGCGAGACCAAAGAGGATGCACCAAAGGAGATTGAGGCAGTGGTATTAGAGTTGGGAGGATCAGTTGAGCTCATGGACACAGTAGCTCGGACTCAGGAAGACTTCAGGGTTGTTCCGGCCGGGGTGCCAGAGGCGGAGATTGCCGAACCGGAAGCTAGGATTTTGCCATTTCCCATTTCTGGTGATGAGGACCCGATCAAGCTGGTTGTTGGTATGAACCTGCCAACTCCCAGCTCTGAGGAAGATGACCCGCTTAGCTGACTACGGTTACCGCCAAGCTACTCAGACGTCAGCTGAGCGTGTTTGTGCGTGGGGATAGACGATGTTGGAATTAGTAGGGATTATTTTTGTCCCTCAGATTAGTGATTTTTGATTTTGTTATCCGGGGGCCTGTCCCGGTATTTACTGAGTGAGTTGGCTGGGAAATTTATATCTAGGCTAGTTAACTCTAGCTTAGGTAATGTGTTTCTGAGTGCTTTGATACATTGTAAAATGTTATTTTTTGGGTGTTTAATATAATTACCTTTCATCCAAAAAAAATTGAAATGTAGGAGATCAAAGAAGAAAAGGAAGATGAGTCCAAGACACTAGCTCTAGTGTCTGAGCCAAGCACTTCAAAATCTGCTGAAAAATCCCTCAATAATCTCCTCACTGGCGAGCAGTTCGCTATGTTTGTGAGGAAATTTAAATGATTTATGAAGAAGGAGGGAACTGCTCCAAAGAAAGCATACAACCAGCCACCTAAAAGACAAGGGAGACCTCAACCAAGCGAGGAAACTGTCCTGTGCTACAACTGTAGACATTACAAAAATGAATGCCCTCTGCCCTTAGTCCAAAAATATCAAGGGCAGCAGGGGACTGCTCAAAAAGCTGGTTACAAAAACTTCAAAGGCAAAAGACAAGCCTTTGTAACTGAAAAGAAAAGGGAGGAACCCCAAACTGATGATGAAAGCAGCTCAAGTGATGAGAGCTCCTCATCATATAGCTCAGAAGAAGCACTTCTCTGCCTAGGATCATGGCAGGTGACTGAAGAGAGCAGCATGTGGCTCAACAAGCCTTCCACCAGTGGAAGAAAAGATGATGAAAGCTGCTCCCCCAAATGCTTAATGGCCAAGGACCACTACAACGATGTTGAGGTAACATCCTGCTCCTCCTATATCTCTAGTGATTCACGACCAAACAATATAACACTGGAATCTTTATTACAATATTTCCAAAAAGTCCAAAATCACCATGTTCTCTTGAATGCTGAAAATGATAGACTAAAACAAGACATTAAGGCCATTCATTCTAAATTACTAGATGCCTTAAGCAAAAATGATGTCTTAGAAAAGGAGAACAAAGAGCTGAGAAACTCCAGCACAAATAGTAAAAACTTTCAACCTACTGCTGAAGTTACTCTAAATAGGAAGAGAAGAGGTCTTCGTTTCTCATCCCCCACTAGACTCACTCAAAACTGTACATATACAAGCCACAAATCAAACACAAGAAAGCTAATCTACCAAAAAACCCATTCCCCAAATGTTCCCAAAAGAAGGAACCAACCTGCTCCCAAACCAAAATCCAAACACCTGTATAAATCAACACCCCCTCACCATCTAAACCAAAGAACCAGTTGGCAACCAATCAATAAGACCAACCACAGTCAAAATACCAAGCAGACTCCTCAAATCAATAATCCACTTCCCACTTCAAGAAGGAAAAGGATTAACAAGTACATAGCCATTCCTTTTGAGTACAACACCTCAAATGGCTATAGACCAATCTGCTTAGAACTCAATGGTTCTAGATGGGCATGGATGCCTAAACTTGTACAAGGGAAGTCGCCCACTAACTTGTGGGCTACTGCTCAACAATAATCTATACAGGAAGGTGCTGGAGCAACTGAAACACAAACATGGTACATAGATTTAGGCTGCTCCAGGCACATGATGGGCAGCAGGCGGCTCCTGTCAAACTATACAGCAAGGGAAGGACCCAAAGTAACATTTGGGAATGTGGAAAAATAAGGAGAAACCAAAGGAGCTGGAGATCTATCAATTAATGGACTTACAATCCAAAACATATCCTATGTTAAGGGTTTATAGTTCAATCTCATAAGCAAAAGTCAGCTCTGTGACAATGGCTATAATGTTACATTCTCCAAAGACAATTGCTTGATTAGAGATGTCAAAAATGACAAAATTGTGCTCACTGGTAGAAGGAAGAAGGACATGTACATTGTTGATTGGAGCTCAGCAAAGGAAGAAATCTGCTTAGTGACAAAGGCAGATTCAAACTTAAGATGGGAATGCCACAACAAATTAAGCCATCTAAACCTCAAAACAATCAACAAACTGTCCAGAAAAGGTTTGGTGAAAGGACTCCCTGAACTCAACTTCAAAAAGGACCACCTCTGTGATGCTTGTCAAAAAGCAAAAAACAAACCAAGGTATCATTCAAATCAAAAGAAGTGGAATTATCAACTAGGCCCTTAAGCCTACCACACCTTGACTTGTTTGGACCAGTTGAACCAACAAGCTTAAGTGGTAGAAGGTACACCCTGGTTGTAGTTGATGATTATTCTAGATACACTTGGACCATATTCTTAAAAAAGAAGAATGAAACAGAGAAGAAACTTCCCGAATTGATGAGGCTAATTCAAAATAAAAAGAGTCTCTCAATCCAGAGGATCAGGTCAGATAGTGGTACTGAATTTCTCAACTCCATCATAATTCAATACTGTGAAGATAATGGAATTCATCATCAAACCTCAGCAGCAAGAACACCTCAACAAAATGGTGTTGCTGAAAGAAGGAACATGACACTCAAGGAAGCTGGAAGGACATATTTAGAAGCAGCTGGATTACCCAAAAGATTTTGGGCAGAAGCAATCAACACTGTTTGCTACACTCAGAATAAAAGTCTTATTCATAAGATTCACAAGAAGACACCATATGAGTTATGGAAAGAAAGGAAGTCTAATGTTAGTCATTTACATGTGTTTGGATCCAAATGCTTTATCCTAAACAATGGAAAAGACTATCTCAAGCCTTTTGATCCCAAATCTAATGAAGGGATCTTCCTGGGCTACTCAACAACTAGCAATGCATTCCGAATTCTCAACAAAAGAACTCTGGTGGTAGAAGAATCAATCCATGTGGTGTTTGAAAATCACCCCACTTCTCAACTAAAGGATGAAGATGAGTCATCCAAATCAAGGGACACTGGAAAGGCTCCAAGCTTGTGACACTCAAAAAATTTATATAATACTACGTATAAAATAAAAATAGTTTGTCTATTAATGAGATAAAATTTTAACAAATTACAAAAGTGACATTTTAAACATATTCCTAATTTGAGAAGGGTGTCATTTAATTTTTTTTGGATGAAAGGTAATTATATTAAACACCCAAAAACAACATCTTACGATGTGTCAAAGCACTCTGAAACACACTACCTAGGCTAGGATTAACTAACCTAGATATAAACTTCCCAACCAACAAATTCTGTAGATATCGGGACAGGCCCCATGATAACAAAATCAAAACTCACTCAATTGATGAAAAACAAAAAAGAAAAAAGAAGTGCTACTAATCTCAACATCGTCCCTAAAATACCTTCTCCTCCCATCATTATCCCCACGCATAAAGATGCTCAACTTTTTCATCAGCCCCGGCTGAGCGGCTTGGCAGAATCCGCAGCCAGCTAAGCGGATTCTCCTCCTCAGAGACAGGCAGCATATTCGGGTGCTCCCCCCCCCCCCCCCCAGAAATGGGAGATGGCACAATAATAGCATCCGACGCAGCAATTTCTGCCTCTGGTACCTCGGCCAAAACATCCCTAGTGTCTTCCTCCGCCCGAACTACAGTATCCATGGGCTCAACCAATCCTCCCAGCTCTAATCCCTCTGTGTCAGCCTCCATGGGTGCCGCATCCTTGGTGTCATCCACACTAATATCATTTGTTTTCTTCAGTTCCTTCTCAACTAGATTTTTTTCCAATTCTTCCTTCTCATGTAGTTCTTTGCAAATAAATGGGTCGTGACCATATTTTTTGCAATGAAAACAAAAATTAGGAAAAGTCTCATAAACCACCGCTTGTTGGATTACTTTACGGGAAGGTAGTCGGATAGGAAATGAAAGCATGGGCGGTTTCGACGCATCAACTTCAATAAGCACTCTAGCAAAATTATGATTGCTCCTTTCTTGGGTGACCAAGTCCGTAGTAAGTGGCATCCCAACCATAGAGGCTACTTCACTCATGGCATCCTTATTCCAAAGCTTCATTGGTAGGTGTGGGAACTTGACCCAAATTGGCACCTTAAGGAACTCTTCGTCATCAAATGTGAAGTCCTCCGACAAAATCTTCAACATGAGTAGTTTACCAAAGATGGTAAAGGGTCCCCCATTTAGCACTTTCAACCTGTCTCCTTCAGTTTGGAATTTAAAGATCACCCACCCCTTATCATGGGTCCTAACTTGGCATTTAACTCCCCATTTAAATTTCAGTTCATGGATGGCTTTTAGGCCAGGGAAATGACCTGTGAAGTAGCCAACAAGACAATATCCCCACATCTCCACCATGGATGGCAAAAGTCTACCAGAAAAGTCCAAAGAATTACCTTTAGGAGGAACAAAATTCAGTTTGATCCCATGAGATGTAGCCCTATTATCCTTAAAGAGAGTCGTCCAAGGCTTTTTATTGGTGTCAAAACCATTCCCCTGCACACTTTGTTGTTGTGCAAAGCAAAGAATTCTCAAAAGCTGGACTGATTTTACTGCCAAAGCAGTAGCTCCCCCTTCCTTAATCGCAGCAACATTGGCATTCCCAGTTAACTTTTCAGTAACAACTTTTGGTCCTGCATCCTTTGCTGTTTTAAGGTTTAAACCAGTCATCATATCATTGAAACCAGCCTCCGTTACAGTCTCGTGAGATGGCAGATCAATATCTGCAGGTAGTTCTGCAGCGGAAGCAGCTTGTTTCACAGCTGAGGCATTTGTGACAGCCGAAGCAGTTTGTTCCATAGCTGTAGTTTGCTCCACAGTCGAAGAAGGCCCAGTTGAGGCATTTACCGAAGCAGTTTGTTCCATAGCGCCACAGGTTTGGCCAAATTCCCCTTCCTCTTTTCAGACTGGAGAGCCGGGAATTCCTCCTCCATACCTGCCAGAATGTCAAAGCGAGTGGCCGACCTGGTGACTCTGGACGAAGAGGCCTGTCCATTTCCTACTTTCTTTTTTGCCATATGGTTACAGGATAACCGCAGAAAAGAACAGAACAAAAGAACAGTACAAAAAAACCCTCAATCGAGACTGTCGCAGAAATGAAATCGTAAATGAACAGTAAACCTCGCGATTGAGAATAGTTTGAGTTAGTAGCCAAAATAAAAAATCCAAACAGCAAGAGGATCGAAAAGTGAGTTTCGACGAAAAACACCTCAAGCGTGAAACAAACGCTAAACAGTAGTCCGCACCAGCTCAGATAGGTCACCAAGAGCTCTTCGAATCCCAAATCCAAGGTCGGAAATGGGTTTAGAAGCTGTTTCCGACTTCTAGCAGTGAAAAACAAGCTTCGAAACCCCTGAATCCATGGAGCCGTACATCAGTCCGTACTCTGATTCGGAAGTCGCATGAGAGAGAAGCTCCCAGTCCTTTAGACGCTGGTTTTCAGGAGCTAGTTTCCAAGAAGGGTGTCATTTAAATTTATATGGAATATATATCCACTATAATAGGCAACCAAAAATACATACCGGAGTACTAATTCCCAAATGGGAGATTTGACTTTTCAAATATGGCTTTTAGGGTAACACCTCATACAAGTCATATACATACATATATAAGACGTACATACATACGCATGCGGCTTTTAGTTATCTAAGTTATATACATGCATATATAACACGGTCATATATAATGAAGAATCGAGATCGGTAACATATAGTCTTAAATTAAATTCAATACGGGTGATGCAACGGATAAAACCCTAAAGCTGGAACCTTCCAACCTAGTATATATATATATATACCCATCGATCTTCGACGCCCCTGCGACATGCGGAAAAAAAAGACTAAAACTAGCGGACGTGATCTATGTTACTGCTATCTCCATCGAGAGGGAAAAAGAGAGTTAATATAGAGGGCCATAGTTGTCGTAACTGCCGGCCAGTCCGACTGAATCGTCGGAAGAGAAGATTGCCGGAGAAGAGGCCAGAAGAACTTTTGCTGCTTTGCCGCCGCGCGCTGTAATCGCCGGAGTACCATTCGGGATGCGGGACTAGATTGAATCGTTTCACGCCGGTAAGAGAAGAGTCATCGTTGATCTCTCCACTTCCGCCACCCTCCGGACCGCCGTTTCTCGCCGCCGGGAGAGGAGGCTACTGCGGGGATCACTGGAGGATTCCCTTGCTTCTGTTTCACCCGATGAAGAGTACGTTTGCACTACTACGCAGTTTTCTATTTCTCTTCTTTATAGTTAGGTTAGGCTTATATTAGTGGGCTCTGATTAATCATAATACTACGTACTATATATATTAGATTAATAATAATAATAATAATGGATGATGTAAATAGTGGACTAAATTATGGACTATTATATTTATAAAGAAAGGGGTAGAGAAATTAACCTATAGTTTTGATAAGATATTGATATTAAAATTTTAATATTCTTAGAAGGTGATTTCGAGAAGATCGACATAGAAGTTTCGGTTAGGAGTTATTGCGATTTGAGGTAAGTTTCACGTCAACCGAAATTAGTTCTTTTTGCTTCGTGATTTCTTTGAATATTTTTGTGTGCATATTTGAGAATTGAATTTATGTGTGCTGAATTTGATTAAATATTATTATATGAAAGAGTTGTATTTGAGATATTAGTTTATATATTGGTTTGTTAATATGAGTTATTGTATACGATTTTGGGATATTTTGTAATAGTACGTAATTTGTTATCTTTGTGGAGTTTGATGAGAAAGAAATTTTTGAAGTATAAACTTCGAATGATTTTGAGAAGATAAAGAAGAATAAATATTTTCATAAAAGGTGAGCATCACAGGAGAAATCCGTGGTGCTGGTTTTCCACGTCCCTTAAAATGTGGAGGGTGGTTAGGTCTACTACTACTCAATTTTTTTGTTTTGGTTTGAGGTGAATTGACGGTCGGTAGAAAACATCCCGGCTTTTGAGTAGTAGTGGTAGTAGTAGCTCCTAATCACTCAGCTTTTGAGGTGGGTTAGTTGGTAGAAAACATCCCGGCTACCCGGATCGACTTACTAACCCGGAGGGCTTGGAATACCTTTAGGGGGTGTACACACTTAAAGTAGTTGTTTCCGTTTCCATTGAGCAGTTGTGGTACCGACGATAGTCCCGGGGTGGCCGTACATAACAACGGACCACCGGGCTCAACCAAAGTGTTGAGCACCGCCCTTCTAAATTACTAGGAAGTTAGTTACAAAGTGATTTTTGGAGAAATTCTACAGAGGAGAAATTTTGGGTTTTCATGTATTTTGGAATTATTATGGTTCATGAGTTATGTGATTGAGATTCTGTATAGATATCGTTACTTCTGATTTATAAACAGTTTTGAAAATATTTTTTTTATACTAACGGTTGTATGAATTTATATATATATACTATTATTTTTTTTCCACCAAAATCAGTGGGGCAAATGTCGGGGAACATTTGCCAGATTTTATTAGATAAAAAAGATACAGACGGAAAGGGGGACTAGGCCAAAACCTTTCCAGAAGAAGCATACTTCTTCGAAAAACAAGATACGCTAGTGAGGCAGAAAAAACAAATATTGGGGGGGCTAGACCTGACCCAATTACAAAAAAAAGAACAACGAGCAATACATAGGGAAATTAACGGGCAACTCTAAGCGAGGGAAGCCCAAAAAGGTCCATAAAATAAGCATTACGGGCTTGGTGTGGTAAATCAGCAACCTGAAAATAATTTGTGGGCCGATCCTTAGAATTATTTGCTAAAAAGTGGCCAGCCCAATTTGTTTCCCTCAAGATAGCTGAATTGGAAATCCTTCTGCGATCAGACAGATCCAACAATTCGTTGACCTCAACTCTCCATCTTCCACTACTCCTGCGATGAAGATGCTCTAAAGCCTCCCTGGAATCCATTTCAACCTCAAGATTCGTATAGCCAGCCTCAATCGCCCAAGAAGTCGCGTGTATAACAGCAAGCAACTCAGCTTCAAAAACGGAAGACGCAGGAACCGGGAATGAAGTCGCCATGACTAACCTGCCGTCGTTGTTCCTCAAGACAGCACCACCAGCTACTCTCTGAGGTGAGACACTCGCATCTACATTTAGTTTATAGCTTTTAGGTTTCCTACATAATATAGCTTTTATCGTAGGTCGGGATAGTCGAAAATTCATTGGAATCAGATGCTCTTCATACAGAATCCCTCCAATCTAAGTAATCTTGCTAGCTGAGAAAGTAGAAACCCAATTCTGTGTAAAATTCTTAATCTGAGAAATAATTGAGTCAACCGTAGGAGATATGCCATCCGAGCCCCATACCAAACTAGAATAGGATTTCCAAATCTGCCAACAAATGATACCTGGCAAACAGTGTTTAAATATATCTTCCAACTTTTTAGAACCTGCTTTAAGCCACCAAGATATGAGAACTTGTCTGATAGTAACAGTGTGATGTAGAAGAGGGATTCCCATAATTCCCATAAAATACTCCCAAATAGGTTTAACTTTATCACAGTAAAAGAAGACATGATCAACTGAATCAGAATGAGCCATACAAAGAGGGCATTTAGAAGGATTAAGAACAATCTTGAACCTAGACATGTTATCAGTAATAGGTAAAATGCCTTTAAGTAACCTCCATTGAAACAACTGAATCTGAATAGGAAGCTTAGAGTTCCAAATATGTTTATCAGAGAATGTGCTAGGTAATTCTTCCCTTATTTCTTCATAAGCAGACTTAAGTGAAAACTTACCATCAGCAGTAGGCTCCCAATATATACTGCCATCATTGTTCACACCACAAAGAGAGGAAGCTATCTCATGAACTGAACATATTCTTCTCCAAATAGGAGAATCATACACTTTGGGGTGCATATTTGGACCCCTAGGATATCTAGCCTTTAAAAAATTAGCCCAAATAGAGTCCTCTGATTTCCATTTCCACCACAACTTCAAAGAGAATGCTTTTTCAATATCTGATAGACTACGGATACCAATGCCTCCTTCATCAGTAGTGTTGGGATATTCATCCAGAGGCCCAATACCCGGATCAAGAAGGCCCAAGATACCCGGCCCAAGCAACGGGCCCGTCACTCTATGATGAGATAATCAAGGTAGAATTCATGTCGAATGAGATTCGGCCCAAATAAGGATTGGCCCAGTAAGAAGACATACCGAACGGAGTTCGGACTATATATTATACTTGGGCCAATTTGACGGCATCTTCAGCATAGCCCAACATCCCGTTCGAGCAACGGCCAACCGGCAAGTGGCCAGGTGCAATTAATGCCAGATTGTGACATCAGCAAGTGGAAACATGGGTGACCAAGTCGGTGGAACAACGGCCAATCAGCATAGGGCAGCCCATGCTCTCCATTAGTATAAATAGAAGGCTTTAAGTCATTGTAAGGGTTAGGATTTCAATACTCAGGCTCTAGAATAGCATCATTGCTCTTATTTCTTGTATTAAAGCATTGTTTCCGACCTACCGATCGGGAAATTCCTTGTAATCAGACTGGTTAGTTAATACAAGTGAGCTTTCGAGTATTAGTGAGTTCAGACCTTATATTTTTTATACACTTTGATTCTGTGCTATTCCTGATATATCCAAAGTTCGTGTTGGGCTTTCGGATCTACGGGATTTACCCTCAACATTGGCGCCGTCTGTGGGAAACTTACAAAAAGTTTCACATTCAAATCATCCAAAAAACCACTATTTTCAAAAATGGTCAGAATCAGTTCCTATCATACAAACGACGATTCACGCCGTCACGGAAGGAGTCACACCCCGGGGAGTCAAAACCCTCAGGGACAATCCAGTCGAGGATCGTATCCTCGTTTTGATGGGGATTTTGTGATTCCCGAATCTCTGAGAAGAAATCCTCAGGCCATGCGAGACATGGCCCAGATCATGCAGCATATGGCGAACGAAGAAGAAGGAGGGTCCAGCTTTACAGGGGAGACTCCACGCACGGAAACAACCACAGCGTCATGCCGTTCGCATGCCCATCGGGATAATCGATGTAGCGCCCCACCAACAGCGCACCACAGTCCCAGTGATCGAACCCCGATCGGGTCACAAGCTAGAGGACCAACTCCCATTGGTCATCATTTCCAGTATGCCGAGCGGGAGAATACCAGGGCCCCTCAACGGCATTGGGACCGGGACTATACGGACATGAGGGCTCCACCACCGCCCCCTTTGACGGCCCAGGAGGAAGAAATGGCCGAGATGAGGAGGCAGATGAATGAGATGCGGGACCAGATGAACAGGGCGCCTGTACAACCTGCCCCCGTTCAGCTGGGAATTACTTCCCCTTTCACCAGGGAACTCATGTATGCAGACATCCAAGGGGGTGCCAAGCCGCCGACCGGCCAAATCTATGATGGGGTGGGAGATCCCCATGTGCATTTGAGGATTTACCAAAGGGGACTCATGCTGCTAGGAGCACCCGAGGCTGCTATTTGCCGGTTGTTTTTT